AGTGCTTGCAATGGTGAAACCGAATATGTACGATGAAGGTGCATAAACAACCCGAGCCCTACCGCCCGCCCTCTCTTCGGTACCCATCCGCCCCGCACAAAGGCGCTGCCCTCCTGCTGCCGTGCGCCCAATAGCTCTGCCACGATTCTGAAATAGCCTTGCACACGACTTTGACTCGAAACCTGCCTCGAAACCCGCCCCCATCTAACCTCCGTGTCTCTCTCCCCCACCCCGCCCCCGCTCCTCCGATATTTTGTGGGCAGACGAACGCCTACGTCAAGCACTGCACGACGGCGCCGCCGACCGGTGAAGAAGACAAGCGGAAGCCACACCAGATGAAGAAGTCCGCCACGCTCGGTCGCGTCACGCTCGGGGAGCGGTCCGAGGAGCGCAACACCTACGGCATGTTCGAGGAGCAGCACATCGACGGCATGATCGGCATTTTCATCACCATAGGCCTCACGAAGAAAGTCCGGATGCAAAAGAACTGGAGCCGGTCCGCCCACGACAACTACCCGCTGGTCCAGAAGTGCATGTCGGTTTTGTTGCAGTTGGGATGGTGGGGGCGGGACAGACGTGGGTCGAAAGGTACCGGAGCCCCCCGGAAAGTCGAAGATTCTCCCCCGTCTACGGCGCCGCTATTTCATGTGCGGGCCGTATGGTTTGTTTTTGGTTTGCTGGCAGTGAAGTTTGGCACATGCACGCTCTATGAGTAGAGGTTTCTTCCGTCGAGTACATCACCCGACACTCAATATTGTCTTGTAGTCGTCCTGGTACAGTAGATAGAAATGACAAATGACGAGCGTGTTCCTGCCGGTAACGGCCCACCTTTAAAGTGCTGTGTTTCTGGTGCTCTTCCCTGTCTGGCAGGGAGCTAGAAGAGATCCTCAACACTGCATGGGCGGCGAACGTCGAGTGTGACAATTGGTTGTCGTACGACGAGCAAATGATCAAGACTGTTTCGAAGTACTCGAGCAAGGTTTCTTTCTACTGCCCGGCGAAGCCCATCAAGCACGGTGAGCATGCGCACGCATTTGAAAGCTTGTTTCACGAAAGGGGTCTCCGAGAGTAGTTTGAACGTGGTACACGTGAACAATCCGATGTGTTTCTTGTTAAAAGTAGAGAGAGGTAGGGATTGAGGGGGGCCGTCGAGTTGGGTGGTGGCACTTATCCACGCCCCGGTGCGGCGTTTTCCCGCTTCTTCTACAAAGCCATTGCTTTTTCTGTACATCAGTGATCGCAGACTCCGGAAATCATTGATACGCCTTGGTGTCAACAGCTGCTGGTTCCAACACTACTATTATTTTGTTTACCTGCCGACACAACATTAGTCTTACCACAGCTGGTCCCTTGGGCCTCCCTGTCGGCGGACGTTCGTCCGTTTTTTCCTTGATGTGTGCCAGGCATGAAGCTACTAGCGGCGTGCGATATCACGGGCTACTGCTTAACCAGCAGCGTGGATGGCGGCATGAAAGGTGANCCACAGCTGGTCCCTTCGGCCTCCCTGTCGGCGGACATTCGTCCGTTTTTTTCTTGATGTGTGCCAGGCATGAAGCTACTAGCGGCGTGCGATATCACGGGCTACTGCTTAACCAGCAGCGTGGATGGCGGCATGAAAGGTGACCCCAAGCTTCGCCCTTATATGGACTGCCCGCTCGGCCGAGCTACTCGCCACGTGCTTCACGTTCTGTTGGGGGAGTGCGGCGTGTTGAGGCAGAAGATCGATGGCTCGGGGGTATTCATCGCCATGGACAACTACTTCACCTCCCCCACTGTGTTCGAGTGCCTCGCCTCCTACGACATCTTCGCTGTAGGTACCTGCCGCGCCGATCGGACTGCCGGCGCTGATGCGTACCTCGAGAGCCTCGGGCGTACCATTCCTAACCGCGGCGACATGAACCTCTGCCGTTCAGGGCAAGTGGCGTGCGTGCAGTGGGCTGACTCCAAGGGTATCTTCCTCATCAGCACCATCCACTTCGCGCAACCGGCCAAGGGAAAGGAGGAGGCAGGTGGAATCGACCACATCAAGCCTTTGCCTCTATCGTGAGTCTGACTAGACTAGTGTTCTTCTTGACTTTTTTCTGGTTAGCATGTTGTCTACGCTGGTATTGTCTGGACGCACGAGCACGAGTGCATCCGCTGGGGGTGGAGGGTAGGGGGGACCGGGGTGCGTTTGAGAGGCTCAGTACATTCGCAGCCGGAGTCGAATACTTTGTCGTGCTACCTCTGTTGACGGTGGTCGTCCTTGTGCTCAAGCCTGTGCCCCACATCCATGTACCCCTTTTGCTCGCCAGCCTAAGCCTGTTTGTCCCTCTTT